TTATAAAAGATTATGATATCGTTGTTTATCCGGTTTTATGAATTGATCTTAATGCTTTCATCAAATTGATCACCTGTATGAATTGAACTTGGTTTAGTTAATTGCAAAGGGATTTGGATTAGTTAAACCTGAATTCGTTCATAAGATAGGTTCTGTTAGAAATCTGGGATATAAAATGAACAAGAAAAGTAAATCGGGAACCGGATAACTCTTCAAGGCGTGATACACTTTTCTAAAAACGTTATTCCGTCCTATACAAGCAAAGGACTTCCTGGAATACGTTTTTGAGATACAATGAAGAGAAAAGTGATCTTAGTTTGCTCTCCTAAGATCACAAACACAAGAAACCGCAAGAAGAAGATGAACAAAAGGCTTTTGTGAGTGTTTTGCAAGAACAATCACAAAAGTACTCTCAAATCTCTCAAAAAACGACTTAGATCTGTTCTCTATCATGTTAGGATGTCTAGGGATGTTTATAAACATTCCAAATGTCGAAAGGTGTGAAGAAATCAGAAGTTTTCCCGAACGGTCGCGATTTTTCGTTATTTCCGAACTGCTCAGAAAAAACGGGCTGCCCGCCAGTTTTTCCGAGCTACCCGCCCGTTTGTTCCCGAACTGTTCAGAAAAAACGGGCTGCCCTCCCGTTTTTAATTATTAATTCTGAGTGCATAAGTTGGACTTGATAAGGAATTCTTAATTCAATCTAGGAACAATGATAACGAACGTTAATGCTTCTAGTGTGAACCTAGAGATGCGGAAGCTGGTAGGAAGATGCTAGTTAGAGGGTGATGATCCCTGATCCGGACGCATCTTAGTTTAGATGCTCGAGTTTTCCAAATTAAACATGATTATCATAGAATCTTTATCCTTATAAACTATCCATGCATGCAAGGGCAATCCTCAAACCCGCAGTATTAGCATATATAGATTTTTCCTCTCACATTCACCACTTCACCAAAATCTCCTTCGATCAAGCGTTAGTAGAATTTAGTCTAGTTGTGCCACTACTCCTTGTGTTCGACCCTGGTACTACAATCGATCCGTACGCTTGCGGAATCGGCTTAGTCTAGGTTTTATTACTTGATTCAAATCCGATCACCTAGATTTGCACGACTAAGTTTTTGGCGCCGTTGCCGGGGACTGAGATTCAGTCTTGGTGCCGGTTAGATTCTAGTTTTCCACAACCATCTACTTTCTTTCACCACCACCAGATTTTCTTCTTTCTGGAATCAAAACTTTGATTCCTTCGGTTTATGACCAGGAGTCGTGGAAGTCAAACTCTACTTCCTTCTGATCCAGAAATCGAAAGAACTCTTCAACTCCTAAGACAACAGAAATGTTGACGACCATCATGCGCACAACGCTGATCCACCGAACGAAGTCGAACGAAATGAAGCGCTTACTTTTGGAGACTACACTGCTCCAAAACATACTCCGTTGTTATCTTGCATCAGGAGACCGAACATCGACAGGAGTCAATTCGAGCTTAAACCTGCATTTTTGCAAATGCTTTCTACCTCTAGTTTCAAGGGCACTCTAGATGAAGACCCTAATTTGTATTTGAATCATTTTAAGATGTAATGTCAGTCACTTAAGTTGCCCAATGGAACCTCTGAGGAAGCAGTATTACTCTTGGCCTTCCCTTTCTCCCTATCAGGAAAAGCATTAGAATGGCTATACACGCTTCCACCAGATTCCATCCATACTTGGGAACAACTTCACAATAAATTCATGGTGCGATTTTTCTCTCCTGAAAGGACTATGTCCATAAGAGGAAAGATAAACTCATTCTCGCAAGAAAAATATGAGAGCTTATATGAAGCATGGGAGAGATACAAAAGCTATCAGCGATCATGTCCACATCATGGACTCAGTCAAAAATACTTGATAGCTAATTTCCTCATTGACCTAAGAGAGGAGACGAGATTTTGGATCAATGTAGCATGTAAAGGCAATTTATATAATATGCCCTTTGTCGAATTGGAGGAGAAGATCGATAGAATGGCAAATGAACACGTATTTGACTACCTGATACCGCGGGAAGAAAGTGAAGAGGTTCACGAACTTGAATTAGTTCAATCAGACTTAAACCATCTTAGATTTGTATCTACCCAAGGACATGAATCAACCGGACTAGAATGTCCTTGGTTAGAAAAGGGAAAACCGTGTGCAGATGCATGCACTATAACTGAACCGATCGAGCTCATTCCTTCCCCAGTATTCTCGATAGACCAGATTGCCCCACATGATCAAGATAATGTTATGTCTCTATTGAAGACTCTAGTTCAAGGGCAGCAGTCTTTAAAGCTTAAACTAGACGAGATTAACGATGACCAAAAGCTGATGAAAAAGAGAGTAAGCAATATTGAGAACCACTTGCTCATTTTAGATGCACAAGTAGCCCACATACACTATAAGAAAAACTGTAATTTGCGACACCTTTTGCGACCGAAATTTCTGTCGCAACATATTTTGCGACAGACCGCGACTAAAAAGCGACACAATCTCGGAAAAATATCTCTGTCGGACTTGGACGCAAAATCTGTCGCAACTTTTCGACCGACTACGACCGATATATCTATCGCACGTATTTGCGACAGAAAGACGACGGAAAACGACAGATACTTTACGAAAGATTGTCTATCGGTATATACCGACAGAATTTGCGACAAATATTAGGCGTCGCGGAAATTATGCGCCCGATATGCGACATACTATAGGAGTAGCTCAATATATGCGTCCGAGGTGCGACTCACCGCTGTGTCGCAAAATTAGGTACACACGTGAATGGTATGTCACCTAACTTCTGTCGCATTTCTGTCGCAAATCATTTTACGACAGAAAATATCGGTCGCAATTCCGTCGCAACGTTTCTTCTATATACTCGTCACGCGATGAGCATGCATAGATAGGAAAAAAAAAATTACTACCGAAAAAAAAAATTATTTACAAAAAAATAATCATTTTACGACAGAAAATATCGGTCGCAATTCCGTCGCAACGTTTCTTCTATATACTCGTCACGCGATGAGCATGCATAGATAGGAAAAAAAAAATTACTACCGAAAAAAAAAATTATTTACAAAAAAATATCTTTTGCATCCAGAATGTGGATGTATAATAGATTTGATTCTTCTAATCAAATCTCGAGTGAGTTTGCTGAAGGATTACAACATTTTATG